ATAGAGACATACAAGATGATCAGAGGATTAGATAGGGTGGACAGTGGGAGCCTTTTTCCTCGGATGGTGATGGCTAGCACGAGGGGACATAGCTTTAAATTGAGGGGTGATAGATATAGGACAGATGTCAGAGGTAGGTTCTTTACTCAGAGAGTAGTAAGGGCGTGGAATGCCCTGCCTGCAAAAGTAGTAGACTCGCCAACTTTAAGGGCATTTAAATGGTCATTGGATAAACATATGGATGATAATGGAATAGTTTAGGTTAGATGGGCTTCAGATTGGTTTCACAGGTCAGCGCAACATCGAGGGCCGAAGGGCCTGTACTGTGCTGTAATGTTCTATGTTCTAAAGGTCTTAGTTTACAACAAGATGGGTTGGTCAGATGGGCAGATCAGATGGAATTTAACCCTGAAAAGTGTGAGGTAATGCATTTTGATATAAGTAACAACAGAAGGGTGTAAAGGAGCAGAAGAACTCTGAGGTGGCAGAACACATCAATAGGGTGGTTGAGGAGCATGTGGGACACTTATGGCAGAGATTATAAGAACAGGGAGGTCATGTTGGAAGTGTATAGAACTTTGGTTAGGCCCTGGCTGGAGTACTGTGTGCAGTTCTGGTCACCACACTATAGGAAGGATGTGACTGCACAGAGGGAGTGCAAAGGGCATGTTGCAGCAGTTTAGCTTTGAAGAGAGGCTGGATAAGCTTGAGTTGTTTTCTTTGGATCAGAGAAGATTGAGGGGTGACCAGATTGAGGTATACGAAATTATGAGGGGCATGGACAGGATGGGTAAAGACCAGCTGTTCCCCTTAGTCAAAGTGTGAATAATGAGGATTTATAATTTTAAGGAGAAAGTTAGGACGTTTAGAAGGGATTTGAGGAAAGATATTTCACCCAGACAGTGGTGGGAAACTGGAATTCAATGCCTGGGAGGGGAGTAGAGGTGTGAAACATGACAACCTTTTAAAAAGTATGTGGATGAGCACATGAAATGTCATAACATTCAAGGGCTGGGAAGTGGGATTAGTGTAGAAAAGTCAGCACAGACTAGATGGGCTGAAGGATCTCTTCTGTGCTGTATGACTCAATGACTCTATAAAGACTGTGTCATGGTCACTCCTACAGATATTATCCATTTTTACCCTCAACTAGTTTTTGTTTTCTACTAATGACTGCATGATGCTATATTTCAATCTGCATTCCCAGATCGCTGGTTTGACATGGTGCACACGCCGTGACAACCAACTGCAACCTCATGAGCAGAATGATCATGTAGTTCCTGAAGGGTCAGATACGACACAAGCACACAGTGTCTTACGTGCACACTCTGACATCTCCTTGGAAGGTAGGCCATCCTTTGTATTCACCTCATTGTATAGCACCAGGATTATAGCATCATCCACACAACAGGAGGATACTGCTGCTGTTGATTTCATTACAATTAGAATCTGGGCTCTACCCAAAGTGGCTTAATCAGGGAACTCCTCTCTCCATTGCATGCTGGATAACTGAGCCACAAAAGGATAAATGGAAAGCCAGTGCTAAGGCTCCTTTTTGTCCCTTAAATACAGAAGCAAACATAATACACATATACCATAAAGCTCCTTCACTTCAAAAGCATATGCGAAAGAGCTCTTAGATAATTTTGCAAGGTTTTGTGAGAATACAAAGAACCAGATTATTTATTCTGATTGCTGAATTCAATAATGCTAAGCACAGAGTCAGGATTGCCAATGAAAGATTAAATGGGAAAGATTGAGGAAATAGATTACAGGAATAATTCTGGTGAATGGTCACAGACCTGAAAAACAGATCTGCCTTTCTCTCCACAAGTGCTGCCTGACCTTCAAAGTACTTCCAGCATTTTCTGATTTTATTTCACATTTCCACAAATTGTAATATTTTGTTTAGTTTTTCATCATTGTTCAATCAAATTGTTTTTACACAATTGACTATTGGAGTAATTTTAACTTAACATGCCTGACAGGGCAATGATTGAAATAGTTTGGCCTGTTTTAAAACTCATCTAATTTTACCTATATTTGAAGTTTCCTCTCCAAATTATTGTGAGTAAATCACAACAAGTTACCTTTAATGTGGCTTCTTATACAGAAATCTCACAGACAATCAAATACTGAAACAATGATTTAAACTTTTTTACATATAGCAACCAAAAATAGACCCCTCCAGTAAACACATTAAGCCTCACAATCCAACTTGGCTATCCTTGATTAATGGTGTAACTTGGCCAGATTCCGCTAACAGTGTCTGTCTCTAGAAGTGTCCAGGGTTCGATCCTTGTGCAGTCAGTATTGTTCTTTGAAGCTCTGCTAAAGGGGGTGCTCTGGTGTTCAATTCTTATACAGATTTTTCTCCTTCAGATCTGTGATGTAATATATTGATGATTCTTTTAAAATCCTTTCATCCAAATTACTGCAAGTCTGCAACTTGTCTTCTTGTAGAAAGTAGCTTCCTTGTTCCTTATTACATTTGGCCTCAACTGTCTGCTCGAAGACACAACTTTCCTCTAATTAACTCCTTAAATTCTTCTGCAGGGCAATCCTTGTCCTTTGCGGCCATGAAGCGTATCAGTATATATGCTTATCAAACAGGTGTCAAAGCAGTTTGTCTATGTAATCTCGACTCCATCTTTTCCCAGACGTGGCTAATTGCTTTCAATTCCTGTATAAGTTTGTCCTTGTCCTTTAATAGTTGATTCCAGACAGAGTTATTGCTATGTCTTTCTGTATGTAACAGTTTATCTTTGATTCTTTCAATCTATGAACTGTTATTAAAGTTCTGAAGTTTATGATATTGTAAAGCACCACACCATCATGACTGGGAATTATATCCCAGTATTGGTGGGTCACAATCCTCGAATTCCCTCCTGAACCACAGGTCAAGAAACCAGGTCCAGGGCAGTTAAAGATGGGCATTAAATGCTGACCCATCTAGCAATGTCCACATTCTGTGAAATACAAAAACAGTTGTAGTTGTATGAGGAGTTGGAGTTGTAAAGAGCAGATACAAGAAGGCCATATGATGTAAGTGTCAAACATTGGCTCGGGTTGAACAGTAAATAATCCATAGGATGAATGCAGACTTGTCATTCCATTTAAAGAAAGGCCATTGGTGAATATGGTTCCAGTGTCCAAATGAAAGGGAAAATGTAGCAGTTCCCTTAATGTAATTCCATCACTAAACTGTCACTGTTTTGGGAGGCACAGAGCATTTCAGGCCTGAGCCATTCCTTCTGTATCTGGCCATTGTTTCAATGGGTAAGTGGGGAAGGAGGTGAATGAGTTAAAAGAGGCAGGATAATTGCTGGAGGTAGCAATGGGTGGAATGAATAGAGATGATCAGTTTATAATATGAATTTAAGGATCAGAACATTGATTGTAAAATTTTAAAATTAATGGCAGTCATGCTTATCTTTTGCAGGTAAAAGGACAATTAAAGCAAAGGTATTGAGCATTTTGTTGTGGTGCTTTGGTATGGAAGAAAAACAAATGCATATGTCTTTTGTTGACACTGAAGCCAATTATATTGGTTCACTGTATGAAGAGCCCTGCCTACGTTACATAGTAAATGCTAATTTATTCCTTTGTCTGGGTGCTGTTATCTTTCTTTACAGTTATTTTGCATAAGACAATAAAACAATCTTACCTCTGCAAAATGACACTGTCAATTATTTATTTGAAGCACACGACACATCTCAATGTGAACTCTGTTTTCTGAGTTTTCCCAGCAATTTCTGCTTTTGTTCCACATCCAATGTGTTGGATACTGTAGACTGCTCAAAGTGAAAGGTGACACAAGTGGCCATCAGATTTTATTCTCAGCATTGAAGGAGGATTTTTTAATACTGTTTTGATTAAGTTTAACACAGGTTTTTTTTCAGTTATATGTAATATCTCTAAAATGTCTTTCTTTATTAGCCAGAGACTAAATAAAACTTTAACAGTTTTCACAAAAAAATTTAAAGTGTATAAAGGATGTTTTAACCGGATTATCAAAGAGGGAATAGATTCAGTTAGAGATGGGCATGTGAGACCTCATGTTTGCAATTCCTGCACCATGTGGGAACATCAAGACACAGAAGCTACCTTGTCATTGAGAGGGAGAGAGTTATAGAGTCAATTAGCACAGAAAAGGCCCTTCAGCCCATTGAGTCTACACCAACCTATCTACACTAGCCCCACTTTCCGGCACCTGGCCAATAGCCATGACTGTTATGACATTTCGCATGCTTCTCCACGTACTTTGGAAATGCTGTGATTCTTTTTCCCCCTTCTCAGGAAGAGTCTCCAGCTGCTTTAGCTTGAGCTCAGCATTTCAAAGTGTGAGGAGCAGCTGGAGTCACTGCAGACCTTCAGTGAAGCTGAGAGTTTCCAGGATTCCTCATTCCATGAAAAGGCCAGTCAAAGGGCAACAAGCATTCAGGATTCTATCTGGGCAGCTATCAGAAAGATAGAAAGAGGCAGGAAGTACGGGAATCTTCAGAGTATATGCCACCCTTAAACACATGCTTGGCATTCGAACTGCTGGGATTGATGACACTAGAAAAGGGTGCAGTCCAGAAAACAGTATCAATGGGCAAGGGTCTCCATAACGGGAAACAGCAACGTGTAGAAATGCAATCACAATAGGAGGTTCCATAGTTAGAGTGACAGACAGATATTTTTATGATCATCATCATAGGTATGCATGGCAAGTTGCCCTCCTGTACTAAAGTTAGGGCACCGGGGAGAGGTTGCAGTATATTCTGCGGGAGAAAGGGAGTGAGTCATAAAGTGTAGTACATTTGGATATGATGACATAGAAAGGGCATGTATTGAGGTCCCATGGACACTTTTCCAGGAAGTTGGGAGGAAACTAGCAATTGAAAGGCGTCACACTTTCATGAAAATAGAAGCAGAAAGATAGAGTGGATGAGGTGCAGCTTGATGCCTGGCATGGGCTAGAGTCTTCTGATTGGTGAGATTTGTGGGCCTTGAGAACAGTCTGGGGAGGATGGGTCGCATTTCAATAGGATCTTCACTGTGATGTTCATTAATGTTGTTGGCAAAGGTTTAGACTAAATTAGCAAGGGGAAGGACTACAGAAGTAGAATAAAGAGCATAAAGTAAGAGTGTTGACGAGTACTAGAAGAGAAAGTAGTTCTATATTAGAAAGGTGTAGTCTAAGAAGAACAATGAGGAATGTAAAGATAGAATTAAAATGCATGTTTCTGAATGCTCAAAGTGAAGTGAATAAGATTGGTCAGCTACAAGCACAAATGGCTATGTGAGAACATGATGTGTTGGTCATGAGAAAAAAATGGCTGATAGAAGGTGAGAACTGACCACTTAATATTCAAAGAAAAAATGTGTTCCAAATAGGTGGGGAAGCATAAACGGCAAATGGGGTGACAACACTGAAATTACTGTAGGCTAAGAAAGTGGGGATATCCACACGTGTTCAAGGACAGAATCCATTTGGTTAGAGATGGGAAACAAGAATGGTTTTTACTGGAGATGTTCTATAAGCAGCTAAATTGTGAGAGGCAGATAAGGGGGCAAAACTGCAGGGAAATGACTGTGATGTGTAAGAATCATGAGTGGTAATACTGAAAGATGTTAATTAGCCAAATACCAATTGGAATTGTATTAGACTGGTGGGTAATGAATAAGAGGAATTTTGTAAATATGTTCAGGTCAACTTCCTTGATCAGTACGTCCTGACCCAGCTAAATAGGCACTTCTGTAGGTGGTGCTTGGAAATGAGGTGAGTCAGGTGTCCGTGGGGGAGTACTTGGACAGGAATGGTCATCGTTCCATAGGATTTTGACTGGGAAGGCAGAACTAAACCAAAGTAAGATGTTTAAATTGGAAAAGGACTAATTTTGATGGTATATGAATGGACCCAGTCAGGGTAAAGTTGAACTAAAGACTGCCAGGTAAAACTGTTAAGGAGCAATGGGTGATCTATAAGGAAGAGATATTCATTTACAGGCCAGATATGTTCCAAAAAAGGCTAAAGGTGTAGGAACAAAAACCAGGAATCCATGCATGATGAGAGAGATAGAGAATGATGAAATAAAAACAAGAGTGTATGTCAGGTGAATTCTTCAAGACAGAATCAGATCAAATACAACAGTTTTAGAGGTGAAATGAAATAGAAAATATGATAGGCAAAGAAAGAATATGAGAATAAAATAGCAATCAATATAAAAGGGAATCCAATAATCTTCAACTAAAGTAAATAGTAAGTAGACCAGTAAGAAAAGGTGTCAATCCAATTAGGGACAAAAAGTGATATATGTTTAGAGACAAAGGACAAGGCAATAATTCATAATGAGTACTTTTTTATTAGTGTTTATTAAGGAGGAAAGATCTGACAAAATATTGGTAGAAAGGAGATGGTTGAGGTAACAAAGAGGTTGAAAATTGAGGGTGAGGAGGCATTGGAAACGCTGGATATACATGGTGTGATAGGTCCACTGATCTATTGGCTTGCAACCCAGGGGTGACTGGAGAAAGAGGAGGTGAGGGTAATGGAAGACGGTTCACAATCTTCCAATCTTCTGAGGGTACACAGAGATGCCAGAGATTTGGGAGTAGCCAATGTGACAACCCTATTAAAGAAAGAGGATAATACTTTTGAGCAATTTCATGTCAGTTCATTTGACATCAGTGAAGAAACAATAATCAGAAGAAAAAATCAACAGGTATTTGAGGACGTCTGAGTTAACTAAGAAGAGTCAGCACAAATTTGAAAAGACAGATGGTGCTTGACTAATCCAACTTATTGTTTTGCTGAAATAACAGAAAAGGTTGAGAAGAGCAATGTAGTGGATACTGTCTATACCAACTTTAAAAAAGCATTTGCCAGATTACCACATAAAACACTGATTAATGGCATGAAGGCTCCTGGAATAGAAGGACAGCATTGATTTTGATTTTAAAATATTAGCTTATGGTCAGAAAATAGCAACCTGTGCTAAATGGTGATTTGTCAGTTGGAGACAGTGTAGTTCGCCAAGGGTCAGTGCTAGGATCACTTCTTTATTTTGCTCCATCTGACAGACATTTTATATATGTGCTCTTTGCATGGTACATGTAAGGAGCAAATGTTACTTGCCAGTTTTCAGCTAAGTCTCAATATTGTTCAGCTTTTGCTGCATATGGATTCAGTATCTGAGGAGTCGTAAATGATGCAGAAAGTCATGCAGTCCCCATTTCTGACCTTGTGATTGAGGGAAGATCATTAGTGGAGCAGCTGATGATGTTTAGGCCTAGGACAAGATGCTGAAGAATTCCTGTAGTGATGTCCTTGGACTGGAACGATTGATTTCCGACAACCACAACTAACTCCCTTTGTAATAGGTATGGCTCCAACTAGCTGAGCATTTTACTTCTGATTCCCATTGATTACAATTTTGCTAGTGCTCTTTCATACTACACTCAGTCAAATGTTGCTTTTATATCAAGAGCAGTCACTTAGACCTCAAGTTCAAGAGCAATCACTTAGATATGAAGTTCAGCTCTTTCGTCTATGTTTAAACCAAGGCTGTAATGAGGTAGGGAATTGAGTGGTGAGGCTGAGCCCAAACTGGGCATCAGTGAGTAGGTTATTGCTGAGTAAGTGCTGCTTGATAGCACTGTTGATGACACCTGCCATCACTTTACTGATGATCGAGTAGAGTAAACTGTTAGGGCAGTAATTGGGTGGGTTGAATTTGTGCTGAGTCCTGTGGACAGGATAGCACAGGACTTCAGTGTCGCCACTAAGAATGGCTGAGTAGCGCCATTACAAACTATTCTGGTGAAGTTCTAAAGGAAATAAAGGCGAGGCTGAATCTGTAGCAAGTGGTGAGAGAGCCATCAAGAGGGAAAAAGTCACTTGATGTCATTGTCACGTGATCTAACCATGATCCAGACCATGACAGTTTTGGTAGGAGAGACTCCTAGAGGCAAGTAAGATCCGTCTTCACAATGATGATATCCTCCAGCGTTTTGTATGTTGTATGGCATTACCATTACACTAAATGGAGCAATTTTGAACAAACTTAGCAACTCAAAAATGGGCATTCATGGGGCCCTGAGACAGCAGCAGAACTGAATGTATAAACAAACATGCATTCTGTAAAGGCAATGATACCTGATAATATTCCAACAATTGTACTAAAGACTTGTTCTCAAGAGTTAGCGACAAGCCTAGCCAAGCTGTTTCAGTAGAGCGACAGTATTGGCATCTACCCAGCAATATGGAAAACTGCCTCAGTAAGTCCTGTGGATGAAAAGCAGAACACATTCTACCTTGCCGGTTTATATAAGTAGAAATCTGTTAAGGTCAGTTATTATTTTCAATGACTGAGCCTCCACAGTCTTCTGAGGTAGAATCCAAAGATTTACTCTGAGTGAAGAAATTCCTCCACTTCTCAGTCCTAAATGGCCTGTGCCTTGTTGTGAGACAGTGTTTTCTGGTTCCAGACCCCTCATTGGGTAATATTTCTTCTGCATCTACCCTGTCGATCCCTGCAAGAACTTCATATGTTTGAATAAGATTACCTCTCGTTCTTCTGAACTCCAGAGAATATTTAACTTTTCCATACAGGACAATTGCTCCATCCCAGGAATTATTTTGGTGAACTTTTGCTTCACATCATCGATTGCAACTACATCTTTTCATCACGAAGGAGGCCAAAACTGTATACAAAATCCCAAATGTGGTCCCACCAAAGGATTTATATAATTCCATCAAGATATCCTATACTCAAGTCTTTATGTAACAAAGGCCAATGTAGCATTTACCTTCTTAATTGCTTGCTGTACCTGGATTTCAATTTTCAGTGGCTTATGAACAAGGACATCCAAGTTCATTTCAAGTTCAACACTTCCTAGCCACTCGCCATTTAAGAAATACTTTAAAGACTGAATGTTACATTGAGTTGTATTGAGTTTTATGGACAGTTTTGTTGCTGCTGGTTCAGGAGTTTTCTCATATCTTACCAAACTCACCTCATTAACTGTCTACCCACCCATATGGCATCTTGCTCATTCAGTTCTTTCCCTATTTTACCACAGGGCATCCCAGATCAACTCACCACTCACCAGATATCCTGGAATTGACTGACATTCCTGGCACCAGTGCCATCCTTAAAAGGCCATTGGACAACTAGACAAGCACTGTCAGTCAGGAGCTGCCTGGACATGGCACACAGGGAGGAAGTGGTGCCACGGCGTGGGGCCAGGATCCTGGAGGTCCTCCTGGATGGGATGGTACACAGGTACGACATCCTGTCCCCCTGGTCCAGCAGTAGCATGACACCAGATGATGCCAGCCTGGTCCAATGTTGCCATCTGGGTTAAAGCAGTCTCAACCACTTGGAGAAATGCCCAGTATTGTGGGAACTAGGTCAAGAACCTTCTCGACTCCAGCAGCATAATTGTCATCAACTTCTGTCTGTGGCCTCATACTTATTTCCATATCTGCTGCTGTACCCACCTCCCACCTAGGTTCATGGCCCACCTTGACAATATTGGTTGCAACATCTTCCCTCCTCACCCTCGTTAACCCCAACACCCAGCACCTCTAACCTGCATGCCCCTTGTACTGCCAACCCACTTCCTTGGGAAGCCTCCCACCGTGCACCAACAGCTGTGCCATCCACTTACATCTCCTGTAATACTCACCTCTCTCATTTCAGGAGGAAAGCAGCTGACAATAGGGCAAAAAGCGTTAAGACGGCTGCCTGACTTTCAGTTTCTCATCTGTTATGCAGAGAGCAACCTGATTCTGACTGGCCAAATGACTGATTGATTTTGACCAAGTCCCTGAGCTGCTATCAGATGCTGTCTTTGACATACTGTGTCAGGTGATTGCCAAGAAATCCATGGATAACACAGTGTGGAGCTGGAGGAGCACAGCAGGCCAGGCAGCATCAGAGGAGCAGGAAAGTTGATGTTTCAGGTTGGGACCCTTCTTCAGAAATGAGGGAGAGGATCCATGGGATCTAGAGGATCTGTCTTTACTGTATTTGTTCATTGAAGTGCTGAGTGGGTTATTTTACCACAGTTTACCTGTTATCCATACTTACCTCATGTTAATTCTGAATGTTAGAGTATAAGTGGTATATAGTAGGTTATTTTACTATTCTACGTCTATAGAGTAGAGTTAATGTTATTTGTTAAAACTGTGAAATGTTGTGGCTTTATTGTTAGAAAGTATATGTGATGTCAAATTGTACATTTTAGACAAAAAATGTTGCTGGTCCCCAGACAGATTGTAACACAAATTTGGCAGTTAATCAGGAATCATGTTCAAGATGCAGCAGAGAAATATCATTCTGGAGAACCTTGCTTGCGTATACAGTTAGTGCCCCACATCCTTCCCAGAGTCTGGATCACAACTTTAACAACCAGAAGTTTACTCAATGACCACTCTGGGTGCTCACATGGCTTCAGTTGTAGCTTTCATTTGTGTCAATGGTAGAATTTGTCAGCCATGTCCGTAAAGGAAAGCCTTTGTCTTCAGAGCCATCTGAATGAACATGTATAAAATGTTCTTTGGAATCTTTTATTGTGATGTGTTCCTGCTGTTTGATTTTGAATGTAGTTGTTGCTAAACAACAGATTCATGTACAACTTGCTGCTATCTTCCCAAAACCCATTCTCGACATGGTGTGAATATTATCACATTCTCTGGGAGCAGGCAAAGCCTCAGAAAACAAAACTGATAAATCATTCTGAAATTGACATCCGAAGATCACCAGACAATTGAGATGACTTCAACAACTTTCACTGTCAGTCATGTATCCACCACCCTATCACAAAATGAGAAACTGGCAGCAGTGGAGAGAAATTCTTTGTACATGACCCTTCATGACCTGCAATGCTTCCTCAACAAGGTATGTCACTGTATATTGGTAGTTTCAAAGTGTAGGTTCACTTAGGGCTCCACTGGGTAAGTGTTTGTCACCAGAGAATGTTGTGTCTTTGCACCTAAGGCAATGACTTATTAAAACCCCCAGTAGAAAGAAAGTTGTTGGGTGTTGCCAAAAGAGAGGTAAGAAACCTTGATCAACTCCAGGACACCTCAGCAGGAATTCCTCAGGGCAATGTCTCAGGTCCGACCACCAATAACATGTCCTCCTTCACAAGGTCAGAAGTGGAGATATTTGTTGAGGATGGCTCAATATTCAGTACTATTTGTGACTCCTCATATACTGAAGCAACTCTTTTTAAAGTCTTCCATTGGGCGCAGCTGTCACTGGCTAGTCCTCAAGGATAACCAGCCTGATGTTGCTGGATGGTAGGAAGTGGATGCCTGTCTGGCTGCAATTTAAATAAGGCACTTGGACCTGTGACCCAACGAGGGAACAACTGGGCTAAGACTTCAGCCCGTCTCTGCCACAGGATTGCCCGGGACTCTCACTTCTTACGTAGGTAATGATCCTATCTCTGTTCTCCACAAGCTTTCATTGGGCTGTTATACCTCTCCCTCACTCAGACATACATGGTTCCCCTTTCATCACCACCACCTCTGAACAGAAATGCCACACCCTCCGAGTTCTGCCATTGCAACCCTCAGCATGTGAGGATTCTACAAGACCATAAGACCATAAGAAACAGGAATGGGAGTAGGCCATTCAGCTCCTTCATTCTACACTGCAATTCATTAGGTTCACAGTTGATCCAACATTCCTCACATCCACTTTCCTGCCCTTTCACCATAACCCTTGATTCCCATACTGACCAAGAATCTATCTATCTCATCCTTAAATATACTCAAGGATTCTGCGTCCACGGTCTCTGTGGCAAGGATTTCCAAAGACTCTCAATTCTCTGGGAGAAGAAATTCCTCTTCGTCCCAGTCTTGGCGTGTTCTGAGACTGTGCCCTCTCGTCCTAGACTCTCCCATGAGGGGCAACATCCCCTCAGCATTTATTCTGTCAAGCTCCTTAAGAATCCTATCTGTTTCAATGAGATCCCCTCTCATTCTTCTAAACTCTGCCCAGCATATAGAACATAGGGTGGCACCTGGGCAGGGGACACCCAAATTGTCCAGCTCTAATTAAGTCCCAGTTCTATCCTGCCTCAGGGATTTTTCTGGCAACTTACAGCTCAGGATCCTTGCTTTGACGCCTTTGAATTATCGCTAACGTCAAAGTTGAGGTTGCTTTGTGATAATAATGTAGAGTTCTCTACTTCTTCAGTAAGGGAAACCAAGGGTTATGGGGAAAAAGAACGAAAGTGGAGTTGAGAATTAGCAGATCAGCCATGATCTCATTGAATGGTGAAGCAGACTTAATGGACCGAATGGCCTGCTTCTGCTCTTATGCCTTGGAATTATTTAAAGCTCAGAGGAAAAAGGCAAAGATACACCAAGTTCTACCCTAAATGTGTTTCTGCAAAATTTCTGAGTGCCCTATTTCAGAAGATGTGCTCCCCTGCACTAACATTTTGGAGAAAAGAAAATTTCAAATCAGTCATAAAATATTCATGCCCTAAGATTCCACAGAGCAATTTTATGATTAAAAATTTGAAAAAACCCTGTATTGCATATATTTAATTTCATTGTTGCCTTTTGAGTGTGAAATATCTCCCAAGTTATCACTTTGGAAACAGAGTCGAGTTTAGAGAAATGACTGAAATGTCCTAATCTGATTTTGATTTCCAGTTTTCCATTTTAACAGAAATTTATTCTGCACAGATTAGTTTATGTCAGCTCATTTGACCCAACGATGACAGACAGGAAACAAATTGCAGGTTTGGAAACAGTTACTACATAAATAATAGATGTTTAAGTCAGATAATAACATTGTGGTTGAAAACAGTCACTGGTAATGAGCAGGGATTGTTATATTAACAGGCTTCATCAGAGGTTGCCCAAGTGTATAGAGCATATCAAGGCATGTTAATGAAGGATCTGGAGAATAGAAACCCCAACCGTACCACTCACCAGAATTGAATAGCACTGCTCCTCTAGCTAGAACATTACTGTATTTCCGGTATACACTGCTGCGCAGGTTTATCTGGAGACAACTGGGAGGAACAGTGGCTCCCAAAGACAGTCCCAGTTAGCAGGCTTCCAATAATGACCCAGGATGTCTCATTAATGATTAACAATGGCCTTGGAGTATTGAAAACCTATGTAGTTAAGGTATCAAATGATTGGGTCAGCTAAGGACATTTCAAAGGCCGTGGGCCCTGACAATATTCTGGAAATAGCACTGAAGATGTGTGCTCAATAACAAGCTATGACCCTAGTTAAGCTGTCCCACTTTAGCGACAAGTCTGGCATTTACGCAGAAATATGGAAAATTGCCCAGCTATGTCCAAGCCACAAAAAGGACATATCCAAACCAGCCAATGAATGCCTCAATAATCTACTTTCAATCATCAGCAAACTGATGGAAGGTGTCATTGATAGTGCTTTCAGGTTCCACTCTCTCAGCAGTAAGGTGTCCACTGACACTCAGTTTGAGTTCTGCCAGGGCCACTCAGTTCATGACCTTCTTACAGCCTTGGCCAAAACAACTGCATTCCAGAGGGGAGGTGACAGTGGAATGCCTTGGACATCACAAAAGCATTTGATTACATTGCCATTCCTTCACTGTTGCTGAAGCAAAGTCCTGGAACTCCCTTCTTAAAAGCACTATGGATGTATTTCTACCAATGACGTGTAGCAGTTCAAGAAGACAGTTCACCATCACCTGCTTCACATCAGTTAGGGATGGACAACAAATGCTGCCAAGCCAGTGACACCAACACCCCAAGTACCAATAATCTAAAAAAATGGAAACAATTTATTTCTAACATTCCATCATTGGTGTTGTCACCTTGGAGATTCTTTGACCCTAAAGAAATCTTGTTCACTTCCCCACAGGAATATTGGAAGGGCATATCAGAAGGTGTTATCGTAATTGTGTGGGATAAAGAAAGGGAATTTATCGTGAAGACTTGGGTGGGGGTCAACATATTTGAAGATGAATGTGAGTTATATCAAAGATAGAGTTACATCAAAGGGTGTAGGTATGTGGAGAATGTTGCAATGAGGGGAAAAGTAGAGAGTGGGATTTAGCAAAGAATGTATTGTGAAGAAGATGTGGCACATCAGACAGTATTATAATGGAGAGTGTGAGATATACCAGAAAGATACAGTGAAGAGAATATAACAGTGTTACATACATTAAAAATTATATCAAAGACAACTACGGTGAGAAAACATTGAAAGTATTAGTAATTCTGTACAGTCAGGGATTATTGGGGAAGGGTAGATAACATCAAAAAATACTACGGTAATGAATTGATTGGGGGAAGTCAGGCAAAAGGGGATTTTTAATTTTATGCTGTGCATTTGCTTTTGTTATTGTTTTAAATGTTTTACAGCTAAATGTTAAGCAGTGCATCTGCTTTTTAAATTGAATTCATCATCTGCTACTTCGTAGATTACTATGAAGCTCTGTTTCACAAAATACACTCCCAGTACCAGGAGATGCCTGTAACAGGATTACTGTTGATGCACTCTACCCACTATATACATCTGCTGGAGGTGAGCAACGTAATGGCCTCACTTTGTACCAGTTTCCTGAAAATAACTCCATCGCTTGTTACGGTAACATTCCATCACAGGGTCCAGTAATGTGTAATCATTCAAAACAGATTCACAATATTAAAACAAATGGTAAACTGTCCTCAGTGTAACACCTCAGCTGTATGTGCCTCAGGAGCAGTGGTTGAAATAATGGAAGTTAACCAATGCACTGTCATCATTTCAAACTGTAAATGTCCTTTGACCAAGAAATACCATGCAATGTATTCGGCGACAAAACCCAAGCACACTCTCTGCTTAGTTGTAATCTGTACCTCACTAGGCAAAGAACACATCATACTTCGGGATAAAATCTGACAGGATTGCTGTTTACTATCCACTTGGTGAATTGCAATTTCAGTTGGATTACAGGCAAACATTGACAAGAAAACACATTGAATAGAAATGCCACAAGTGTTCTGCATCCACAGAGAGGAATGCATCAGTGCTATGTTTTATTCAGCAGTAACATTTCAGCCAATCTTGGTTAATTGATAATGGGTGAAAAATAGGCTTTCTACTGAGAGATAGTAGGAACTGCAGATGCTGGAGAATCTGAGATAACAAGGTGTAGAGCTGGATGAACACAGCAGGCCAAGCAG